ATATAGTTTTTATGAGGAGATTTCACTTAAAAAAATTAATAATTTTTTTTTTGTAATGAAAGATAAATTCTAAATAAATATTAAAATTAAAAAAATTATATTAGAAATTATATGGTAGTGGATGTTTACAATCAACCCACCGGAATAGTAAATGACATTTAAAAAAAAACATTTATTCGATAATTCCATATATTTTAACTGTAGTATTTGATTTCATTCTCGAAAACGTGCTTTTAGTTTTGTTACATGGGAGTCATCTCAATCAACGTTCTGAAATCACCCATTGACTCCCCTATAAATAATAACCGTTGGATCATATGTTTCAACCTCAGCCATCTGATGGGAATACCAAGACTTAATCTGACCGTCAATTATTTACAAAATTGAATTTCAAAAGCTCAAGAGAGGGAGGAACAAAGCAACGAAAGGAGGAAGCCTCTATTTTGCTTCTCTTTTTCCCCCTTTTCGTTTTTTTCCATCAATTCACCACATCAAAATTAATTCTGTCTCTCGTAACAATTACTGGCTTCGTATGCTTTCACGACGTCGCGTGGATCGACGTTGTGTTGATTAAAGGCCAATCTTTTGACGAATTGGAGTTGTGAATCTGAGCTGTTGGAGTTGAGTGATAAAAGCTTTGGTTTTTTTTTTCTGGGTTTCTCTCTGGGGCTCGATTTTTGAATCCAATAGCTGTTGAATTTGGTGTCAAATTGGGAAATTTAGTGAACAAATTTGATTATTTGTTCCTTTCTTTCTCTCATAAATTTTTATTCAGAAGACAATTTTGGAATTTGGATAGATAAGAATGGAGAAAGGTGAAGGCGGAGGGGATTTGAATTTCCCTCCGAAAAAGACTCAAACCGAGGCTACAGCGGCAGCGGTACCGACGACAGCGACGGATTTCCCTGCTGCAAAGAAGCTCGCGCGGCAGCTGGATTTCAATAGTGTAGGTGGCAGTGCATCAGTTACGGCGACTACTGTTGTTTTGCCGGAGCATCCACAGCGGCTGGTGGTAGCACAGATGCAACAGCCACCGCCTACTCTATCACAACCAAAGCTGCCGCCGCCGCAACAACAACCACCACAGCCACATCCAATACCGTTGATGCCATCGATGCAGCCGTCTCATTCTGCAACTACTCATCAACAGCCACCTATAAGGCCCGTGTAAGTATTCTGCATTATGCCTAATTAAAACATCAATTAAGGGGTATCTGATTTGATTTATAATTAAAGGGTATTTGTATCAATTCAAATCAAGCATATTTTACAAAAGTTCAAGTCTTTTTGAAAAAATTGTAACTCTTTTCAAAGCTTATAGTACGCTTCAATTAGACAATTAAATAGTAAACATCTTTTAGAGATTGGTGTTTTTTAGTTGTTTTGCGTAGGATGGGTTCTCCTTAGGTTAATTAATTGATTCTGATGAGTGTCTGCCATGCGGATTAAAGGATAAACTGTACTGACACTAAGGTAATTGATGTTGGATTCAAATACATCATCTCAGGAACAAGTAAGCAGCTAGATCATAGTGTATGTACTCTGACTGTTCCATAATGCAGAGTATACTTCTCACTCTGCATTTCAAACCTTAATTTTCAAAGGAATTCATTCAAATTTTGTACATTTAGGGACTACTTACTACATCAAACTTTTTAACAGATTAACAGGTACTGAAAATAGTAATAGTGATGTGAAGTTTTCAACAAAACCCATATTGATGATGCATAAAGCAATACTCTCTTTGTTCAAATGCAATGTTTGGCTAGCTATATATGGCTTGATGAAATATTGTTGCTATTCCAATGAATCATTTACTTGGTACCATAATGTTTCAACATTTTTGTTTTCTTATATGGTGTGGATAGTAATGGAGATATGATCATGAGTTCCATTTGCTTCATTTGAAGAGGATTCAGACATGGCCTATAAGACTGAAAATTGAGAATGTAGGTAAATAATGCAAACAAATAGACCCATGTTGACCAAATTCGGCGTCATCAATATTTTGTAATGATTATAGCGAATGAAGTGGTAATATTTTATTGAAACTTCGCCCAGAATGGAAATGTGGAAGTTAATTTGAAATTAAAAATAAAAATGTAGCTCTTTTTCTAGGAACATGATAGCAGGTTGTAAATGATGCTGGTAGTCTTTCTTTGTTAAATTAAAAGTATGCTCCATACATGGATATGTAATCCAGTCACTCTAGTATAGTTTCATACTCGGTCATTTATAACTCTCGAACTATGAACAATCTTAGCATATTTTTAAGGTGCTTTGTGGTAACCAAAAATATATATGATATTATGATATGTGTGCTGATTTAATGCTTGCTATTTGCTTATTGCTGCCTCATTAACTAGTATGCTATGAAACCCTAAGTGGTTGACCTTGTGGATAAGTGTTGGGACTTGTGTATCATAGGTCTTAAGCTTGAACCCCACGAGGGACAATAATTACTTAGGGCCTCATGTGTTGATAAGAAGGCCTAAAGTTTGCTTGGTTCATGTGGAGAGGGTGATTTGCATGGACCCTGTGGACTAGTTGCGCTAAAGGTGCTAGGTACCATGGTCTTAAAAAACTAGTATGCTATGAGAGTTGTTACCTTTTAATGTTGTTTCAACCATCAACTACTGAGCACCTTTTTAGCTAAATTTGTTCTTTCGGATCTTATTTATTGGTCATTTTATGTGAGATTATTAAACAATAGTATCCTTATGATATTACTTGAACTTCCCCGTGCGTTATAGCTTCTAAAACTTCTTGGTGGAATTTCATATCCAACCTTGCCTCCAATCCATGTGGAAAACTGTTGTTTTTGTAGATGGCAGACTAAAGAAAATTTTGACCAAACCCCCCATTTTCACTCTAACAAGAAGTAGCTAAGATCAATTTAAACATGATAAAAAGTAGATTACAAACGCCCTAGATCTGTCATGACCATGATCTACACGAATCTTTACCAAGGCGTTGGTTTTGATTGTGGTTGTTTCTCTTGCATTGGATTCTTTTTGTTGTTGGCATGCTTTACTGTTCTGTTGTTCTTCTTCCTTCTGGGTTTTTTGTTGGCCTGGTCCGGTGTTATAGCGTTATGCTTCAAGTTTATGCAAAGAGACAATTCAGATAGACATACGGTCACTGTATTCCTGCATGCAGGAAGAGGGGGGGGGGGGCAGAGGCATAGTTTTTCTAATTGCTTTGACAAGAAACTTCTCAAACAATAACAATCTTCCCTTTTCATATTTTGACTAATTCCTTTTTACAGGTGAATGCACCTATTCCTTATTTTTGTACATGATCCAATGTTATGCAAATGAGGATGATGATTTCCGGACTTTGTGTATTTAATTGGGCATTATTTTGTGAACACATGTAAAATGTATAACTGTATTAAGAACAATATATTGGGGTATCCATTCTTCAGGAGCTCATAGCCTGTCCTTTAACCTCGTCAATACACACTTCCTTGCTATAGGAAACCCTCAACATTGTTATTACTCATAGTAAAAGATACAATTTTGCCTTTTCAGGAAATCCGAATCCCCAAAAGCACGACCAAGACAAAATGTTGAAATAAAGGATGGTACTCCAAAGAAGCAGAAGCAATGCAACTGCAAACACTCAAGATGCTTGAAGTTGTAAGTACAATAGAGCTAATCATACACTTTTGCAGAAAACATTGTCATATAATGATTTTCATCGTGTGTGTGTTAAAAAGTTCCTTGTGAAATCTTTTAACTTCACCTGCTCAATGATACATAAAATTGGTAGTTGTAAAGTGTGATGTACTAAAATGGATTTGTGTTTCATTGCAATCACTTCTTTTTATATATAAATGAGGCTCAGTTGCTGTCTTCAGCAGCCACTTATTTAATTCCATTTTCTAATGTACTAATGAAATATGAACTTGAAATTTCTGATTTCATATTGGTATAGTAAGTTTATGTTTTAATGTAAATTTTTGTTGGTAACTTACATTTATGCTATTAAACAAGTTGTCGTTTCTCGGCTCGCTAAATCGTGCAGTTTGTGCTTGAGGGAATAAACCTCCCATTTCTTTTGGTCATTCTGACCGTTTATGCCATTTAAGATTTCATCATTTTAGCTTTGTCACATATTGTATGAGGAGAAGCTAAGCTGTGATTGTGGGCTACATTTACCTGATGTGATGGAATTTAAATGGTGCCTACAGAATGGAGAATGAGTTGCGAAGCATTTGAATTCTTGTTCACCATCAAACCATCCCTTTCATTTTATTTTCATCATTTCATGTAATGACATGACCCTTGCTGCATGTATCCTATAATAAAAGACTTTTAGAAGGCATTATTTTTCACCTTCTTAACTTCATGGATATCATGCAGATATTCTCTTTTTTCATTGTCCCATCTTAAACAGGACTACACAATAAATTTGGTCAACTGGAAATTATAAACGAACTGATGCTGTATGTCTAGGATTCAATACTATTTTCTAAACCTGAACCTATGGTTAGGATTTAGAATTCTTGAGTACTTTGATGTTCCTGGCATGCTCTGTTGATCATTGACATCTTCTACCTCAAATGAAATGTTTAACTGGATCAGAACTAAATAAAGTTATGATCCCTGATGAAAGTTCTAATTCATGCTTTATGCTTGATGGACAATTTTTTGTGGTCAGATATTGTGAATGCTTTGCATCTGGAATATATTGCGATGGTTGCAACTGTGTAAACTGTCATAACAATGTTGAAAACGAGCCTGCTAGGAGAGATGCGGTTGAAACTACTTTGGAGCGCAATCCAAACGCATTCAGGCCTAAAATTGCTAGCAGTCCACATGGAAATCGTGATAATAGAGTGAGTCTTCCTCAAATTTACAAACATACTCCTTCAATGTTCATGATCAATATCCATGCATCAATAAGACTATATCATTAATCTTATCTATGGCAATTGGTGCAAAGGCAGTGATCGATGATTGAAGATTCTGTAAGATTTGCATTTATGTTATTGCTGTGTGCCATATACATAGGAGTGTGCACAAGTTTCTAGAGTAGAAGAATATATGTTTTGTCTACTAAACTATTGCTATATGAGCTTAATGCCACGTGCTCTCATAACTGAATAATGCAGCTCAAGTGATGGAAACATACAAATGATTGCAGTTTTATTGCTCCCTCTGTCACAAAATAAATGTACACAATAAAAATGACACAGTTTTAGGAATGTGTAATTATTACACTTTTTAAATAACAAAATGACACTTTTACCCTTGATTATAGAGAGAGAAACTTTCTCTATCTCATAATTAAGGGTAAAAAGGGAAAGTGGAAACTTTATTTTGAAACACTTATTTGGGGACAAACTAAAATAGAAATATGAACACTTAATTTTGGACGGAGGGAGTATCAGAAAACTGTAGAATTTCCATTTTTGGCAAGTTTCTAAAGTTACTTACTTGTTTTCTTCATTACTAAGAATTGATGAGATTGAAGGGTATCTAAGATGTTTGCTAGTAGCCAAATGTTTTCTTACAAGTATGTGCACAGTAAATTGTTGCAATTTTCATAAGACAAAAGTAGTAATAAATGGAGATGGTCTCTATTAAATGATAGCAATGGTATCTGATTCGTCTTATGTTTTTTATTGATCTTCTTAAATTCAGGAAGAGGCTGGGGAAGTTGTTATATTGGGAAAGCATAACAAAGGATGCCATTGCAAAAAATCAGGATGCCTAAAGAAATACTGTGAGTGCTTCCAAGCAAACATTCTCTGTTCCGAGAATTGTAAATGCATGGATTGCAAGAATTTCGAAGGAAGTGAAGAGCGACAGGCCCTTTTTCATGGAGATTCTGCCAATAACATCGCATATCTTCAGCAGGCAGCAAATGCCGCCATCACCGGTGCTATTGGATCCTCTGGTTACGGTTCTCCACCAGTCTCCAGAAAGAGAAAGGCCCAGGAACTATTTTTTGGTGGGCCCTTAGAAAAAGATTCATCCGTTCACAGGCTTGCACCATTTCAACAGGTAGTAGCACATAGTGAATGGTTAAATAGTTTACTTTCACTTCGATTCTAACTTCACATCAATGTCTGGTATAAACTCTATTGTTATTCAACAGACGAATCACATCAAAACTTCAGCTCCTTCCTCTTCTTTGTCTCCTATTCCTGGTCCGCGTGTTGCTAATGTTGCACCAGTAGGCCCTTCAAAATTTACATACAGGTACAGGTTGTAAACTGTTTCTGTTGCCACACATCATTGAAATGCTTTTGAAACTAACTAGTCAATCACGGTGAAGGTCTCTATTAGCAGATCTTATTCGGCCAGATGATATGAAGGAGCTTTGCTCTGTTTTGGTGGTATATTCCAATGAAGCTGCCAGGATGCTTGCAGGTAAACATAGAGATTTCTTGATAGTTTTGTCTGAATGGCGACTAGCACTCATTTTTGTTAGTATATGAGCTCTTGATTGGCCACAGGATTTTTTCCTACCTAATTATGATCTAAAGTTAAGAAATATAAGATCTTTTTGCTTTTCCGGAATTATTTGCTAACTTGAAAGAATTGGCTTATATATAGAACCTGAAACTTGTTGGATACTAACAAAATACGAAAAGCATATATAGAAAATGGTTATCTGGTGGATATTCAACAAATATAATAGGAAGATTGGAAACTGATCAAGGGAGTAGTGAAATAGTAGAGGACATTAGAACACATTGGATTTTATAGAAATTTTGCATATACACCAAACATTTTATGGAAACTTGTTGGGGCAGGCTAAAAATCAACCCCTCTATGAATAGCTTCCTTGCATGTTCTCCTAGAAGGCTAGGCATCAGAATGGGGCGGGATGGGTTGGGTAATGCAATCCTCGGCCCTGGCTCCATTACTTCATCCCCGTCCCCGGCGGGTATGGGAAGTCAAATTCCCTCCCTGTTTTTTGTTGGGCCTATCCCTGGTCCAACCCCGGTTTATCTGCGGTCCATCCACGATTCAGCAAAAAATGATCAAAATTGGTTAAAAATGGTCAAACTTGCAATCTCCGGACCCGGTACCCATTTTTACAGGGAATCCTTGGCCCAGGGCAGGACAAATCACCAGGCCTATATAAGGCAAATTCCTATGCTAAAAATATTATCCTCCCATTTGGATCTTTACTATTCTTTTCCCATGTTAATCTGGGCCTAACCTCAACATACGTGCATGTCTCCTTTTCCAACATGTGCATTCCGAAATCTATGTTGGGGATGATCAAACTATCTTTAGTGTGTTGCCTTGGTTTCTCCTCTACTGGTCTCAGTCCAACATTCTTTCGGGTACAAGAAGTTAGATGGTTGATTCAAATAGCGGCTATTTTGGATAAGCAACAGGGCAACAGCTCAAGACCTTGTAATAAAAGTGATCTCTGTGAAAGTGATTACTCTAGACAATCTAATTTCATTATAACTGTATCTCCAAATTGTGTATCCTTAGAATTTTATTTTATCTTTTTGACCATAAGTTTTAGAGACGAGCTTTTGTAAAGTTCAGGCTTGTAGGCTGAAAAAGCTTGTCATGGAGAAGTAGATAAGTATTTAGTAAAGCATATTGAAAGATTCAAACCCAACAAATGGAGTTAAAAGAACAACTTAAAACAGTCTCATGTTCTTCTTATTAGGTACACCAGGTCACTAAATCCATGGAATAGACTAGGTTGACATTGAAGCTAACAGAGATTATGTGTCACTACACATCTTTTTGAGCTTTAGGTTTTCCTTCTTCTGACTTTGACCTCAAAACTATAATGTACTCTTATTTTTCAACAATGATTTAGTTTTTATGTTTGCCCGTCTAAATCTCATTTCATGATCTCATTTGTATGGTGTGAGAAGAGAATAAAATATGATTGTGAGGTCCCATTTAACTGATCCGAAGACCATAGAATGGACAGGGGAATAAAATGATAATGAAAAATAATTTTAAGATTCTAACAAATTAGATAGAGAATCTTTAACAAATACAAGTAGAAATGCAGTTCATTTTATATGGAATCATGGACTACGAAGGAGCTATGAAACTGTTACTATAGCTCGTTCTCTGTCCTAATTGATACTTCTACTTCTTTTGGAATGTCGAAATAATTGTCTATGTTCTAAATTTAGACATGTTGCAAATTCTTATTTGTTGTGGACATTTGACATCTTCAGTTTATGGGTCTTAATTTGTTTGAAGAGAAATGGAGATGTAATTATGGGTTCCATCTAATTGATATGGGAGCAATGGAGATGGTATCCCAACAGCCGCTCTGCTCTTCAGGGTAGAGATCCGGTCCGCATACATTCCACCCTCCGCAGACCCCAGTTCTGGGTGGAATATACTGGGTTCGTCTGGTTTGGTTTATCCCACAAGATGGAGAATGGAGGAAAGTGGTATTAAACAGATGGAAACCGTCTACCTTTTTTAATCCACTATCATTGCTATGCGTCATATTTGCCAATGATTCTTTCTTATTCTCTTTTGTCGAGTGCAAACAATAACAAGTAAAGTCATCGGATGTGATACCTCGACATGCTCATTTCACTGGTTTATTGGGCTGGAGAAAGTAAAATAATATTAGTCTAAGCTAAGGGGCCGTTTACCAAACACTTACTCGGTAAGCGTTTACGGGTAAAATTTAACACTATTATTTACTTATTGGGTAAGATTTTAGTCCACCAAAAAGGCATCATATGCAACAATTTACCCGGTAAGCGCTTACCGTGGTAAGAGTCGTCGCCCTCACTTACCAGGTAAGACTCTTGGTCCTTGTCTCGCTCTTACCGGGTAAGATTCTTGGTCCTTACCATATTCATCTGGTAAGGTAATGTGACTTGGTAAGCGTTTACCTGGGTAAGCGTTTGGTAAACGGCCATTATTATAAATATTGAAACAACTAGTAAATAAGCGTAGACAAAGATTCCAGCTTAACAGTACTCACCTGGCTATGAAATGTAATTAGGGATGTAAACCAGCTGGGCTTGAAAAGGATTTAATTTTCATTCTCAACTTCTCTTTGGATAAAAATACTTGAATGCTCGTAATCTACTCTGCTCGACTTAATTTTTTTGGAAAACCTACTCAAATCTATGAGTTCGGGATCAATATCAAGCTCTTAAAAGAAGTTGGACTTTAAAAGCAAGGATTTTTAGTTTTAGAAGTTGTAATCGGAGAACAAATTAATGATATGAGACTTGATAAAGTTGGACTTCAAAAGCAAGGGTTTTTAGTTTTAGAAGTTGTAATCGAAGAACAAATTAATGATCTGAGACTTGATCATCAGACATTAATCTTGTACCCCTCCATCCTAAAACAAGTGTCTACATTTCTATTTTTGTTTGTTCCAAAATAAGTGTCCACTTTCAAAAGTAAGTGCCTACTTTTCAGTTCTACCTTTACCTATGTGACAGAGAAATACATTATTCCCCCTATTATTAAGGGTAAAATTGTCATTTAGTTAAATAAAAAGTGTAATAATTACACATTCTTAAAACTGAGTGCCTTTTTCATTGTGGACACTTATTTTGGGAAGGAGGGAATGCAAAATTTGTTCTTTTTTAGCATAGAAAAAGGTTAGATAATCTTACACAAGCTGAGTGTATATCGGGCTCTATCCAGCAAGACCTTAGGTTCACAAATCAAACAAGACAATCAAGAAAAAGAACTGCTCGTTTTTTATTTTGAGCTTGAAAATGGTGGCCAAGTGTCACCCCTTATGTGCTTCGAGCATAGTCAAGGTTGACCAGTGAGGCCCTCATTTGAAGATCTCTAAAGCTGAAGTAGATACTCATTTGAAGATCTCTAACTAGAAAAAATCGAACTTTTCTTTGTTCTCTTATATATATGAAAAATACTCATTCAATCTTGAAGGCCTTTTATTGAATGTATATGTTTATTTGTAAAAATACAGATGATCAGAGAGAAAACTCTGATGCGTCAGCATTGAAGGACCGAATACAAAGCCAGAAAGAACCCGACACCGAGAAAGTGGTGGCAGATGAACCTTCAGGTGGAGCTCAGACTGATAAAATGAGCCCTGATGAGTCTAGTTCAGATGGTGCAGATGCCTCAAAAGGGCGGCCCATGTCCCCGGGAACTCTGGCGTTGATGTGTGATGAACAAGATACAGTGTTCACCACTTCGACCTCTAATGGATTGGGGGCCGATGGTGCCGATGCACCTTCTCACTTGCCAAATGGTCAAGTAGTGACCGAAACCTATGCTGTACAGGAAAAGATGGTCTTGACAGCATTTCGAGACTGTCTCAACAGGCTCATCACTTTTGGAGAATTAAAAGGCAAGTTCCAATTTGTTCTTTTGTTTCATGTCTATGAACACTGCAACTTCTGACTTGGCACATAGTGTTTCTTTGTTCATCAAATGTCTGAAATACCCTTCGACAAAATCTCGGAATTTTGTGGACCCAAATCGACTTTTTGTAATGACTGACGATGAAAAGATTTGGTAAATGATACTTGAAAACTTCCCAAAAATAAAGCGATGGTATGTTCTACCAAGCTTCATAATGTACGACTATTGGGGTGCATTTGGTAATCATACGAGACTGGATAGACTAGAGTGAGGTAGGCAGAAGAAAGAATTTCAGAAGGTTTTAATTTGACATGAGTAATTTAATAATTTACCAATCTTGTCTCATCTCCTGATTTCCATTCCACCTATTTTGGTGTAGTCTTGTTCTAGTCTAATGTCATGTCAAACATGGACAATTTTTGTTTTGTTGTGTCCGATCCCGTACCGCCTACCAAATGCACCCTTAGGTCTTAACATCATGGAAAATTCTTAAAGATTGCAACCTCCTATTCTGGGAGGTTTTCTGATCATGTACTACTTTTAACTGCACAATGTACAAGTCACCTTAGCATCGTTGCTCTCAAGACTTCTTGATCACATCATACCTCTCTAATCTGCTAATACATTATAGCTTTTATACTCGAAACGTATGACAGTGGTTTTCACATTACAGAAACACAATGCTCTTCATTGGCCAGAAGTGATTCCGGAGGTCAAAGTCAAATGGAAGTGGTCGAAAGCAACACCATCATGCACACGGGTCAAACCACAAGTCAACGCGAGCCATTCAGCAATGGGTTCCCGAGGTCAGCAGTCCTGGCTCCTCAAACAGCATTTGAAAATAACGGCACCCATTTGAAAATCCCTTTTCGGAATGAAAACGGAGAATTGAAATTAAAAGCCGAAAAAGAGATATAAGGATTCAGATGATTAGGAGAAGCCTGCATCATACGTACTGTTAGGCCATTCTTTGTCCATGGCTTTTCTTTGATGCAGAGTTGGAAATTACAGTTTGCTCCCTCCCCAATCCCATTGTTAGAGAACTAACATGATCTTTGTTCATTTTTCTATATTTTTTTTTAAAATTTAACATAGTTTTTTTTTTTTCAATGAATTTTTACAGTGTTGAGGTAGGGTTTATCATAGGCAGTAGTGATTAGTGATTAAGGTGTAATGTAATACGTTCCTGTGATGTTTGTGTATACTGCTACTATGATGGAGGTTTTTTTTTCTTTTCTAGTTTTCCTATTTTCCTAATAAACCACAATTTTTACTATTCTGTTTTGACTACTGATAAGAGGTAGAGATAGACAAAGGGGACCGGATTTCGAAACTGGTCCTGGTTTATTGGAACCAAGCCTGGTCCATAACCGGTTACGGCCTTAATTGATTGTGCCATTTGTGTAACTTATCGGCCCAACAGTTAAGCCATTTGAAGCTCAAACCGGGCCCAAAGGTTTACTCTAATCATGCATACATAATTACATATATATATATATATATATATATATAGGTGGACTGGTGGAGGTTCAAACGAGAACTCCTGTGATTTACGAAAACGCGAGAACAACTCAATAACCACAAACTTTTTTAATTAATAAATTAACTTTTATTATATATAAATAATTTAGTAAGGGCAATAATGTAATTAAGTAATTTTTATAATTTTYATTTTATTTTAATTAACCATGTTTATCTTCACGTTTCCACGTCTTCTTCTCCTTCATTGATCACGTTTTCTTCTCCTTCATTCATGCGTCTCCAAATCACACCCATATCACACCAAATCGGTAGTCGATTTTTTAAGTTAACCCTAGCCGAACGGAATCCTTGTGATAATTGTGTGATAATCACATGATTATCACACCCAAATCACACCAAATCATGTTGATATAAGCGATAATGTGATAATTGTATGATAATCACATGATTATCTGTTGGGTTCAAGATTAGTGCTTAAATGTTGTATTCAAGTTTCTCCATTTACTTAGTTTTATTGTAATTAGTTTAGCCTTATTTTCTTTAGTATAAATAGTCTTTTCATTGTAATTGTAATGATACAATTGATTACATCATTAATCAGAAAAGGTGATTTGACAGCAATTATTCTCTCTCAAATCTATCTTGAATTCATATTCTGTTCTTGAGATTTAATGAAGATTTCTTCAAGATTCGTATGAAATCTGGACTTTTCAATTGGTATCAGAGCAAGCTGCAGCAGTTTGGATTTGAAGATATCTATTTTACACATTTTGCACGAATTTTTAAGATTTTTTCGATCTGATTCTTCACTGTTCTTCACTGTTCTTGATATTTTTTTTGACCGGATTGGTTTTTGTGCCAAATTTGTTCAAATTTTGAGTGTTAGWGATAAMRRTTTGTATCGCTAGTTTCGGTTTTGTATTTCAAACAACTTTGATTCACACCATTTTGCATTTTACACAAGTTTTTAAGGCCAAAATGCCTAAATTCGAATTTTAGCTTTCTGGAAAAAGTTCATAAAAAACTCATAAATTTTCATGTTTTGATCTATTTTTTTGGTAAAAAGTATGAAAGTTTATGTTTTTGAAGCTTTATCCGGTTAAGACTTGTGCGGTTTAATCTCCGTGTGTTTTTGAGCTGTTTTGTTATAGGAAATACCGGACATCACTTGAAAGGTTTAGTAAGCGGTTTAAGTATCCGGCTGGTAAGAACTTAGTATCATGAACGGATATTGACCGRBTTRACCAAATCCGTGTGGTAAGTGTGCGGTTTAGAATCCGCTTGGTAAGTGAGCGGTTTATTTCTACAATCGTATATCTTGAA